TGGATTCTCTGGCTGCTGCTTTAGGCTGTGGGACGCAACGCTTCCCTATTTCTTATTTGGGTCTACCGCTGGGGGACTCGGCAAAGAGGGTGGGAAGTTGGGACCCAGTGATTGAGCAGGTCGAGAGAAGATTGGCTGGTTGGAAAAAGCAATATCTCTCCAAGGGTGGAAAAGTCACGTTAGTGAAGAGTGTTTTGTCAAGCCTTCCAACATACTTTCTCTCGCTTTTTAGGATTCCAGCCTCTATTGTGGGAAGACTGGAGATGCTCCAACGGAATTTCCTTTGGGGGGGTCGTGGGGAGGAGTTTAAATATCATCTTGTCAAATGGGATCAGGTTTGCAAGCCTCTTCAGCTTGGTGGTCTCGGAATTAGAAGACTGACCCTTTTTAATAATGCTCTTCTAGTCAAGTGGCTTTGGAGGTTCGACAGTGAAAGACATAGATTATGGAGAAAGGTTATTTCTTGTCGTTTTGGGGAGGAGAGTGGGGGGTGGTCAGCTAGGCCTGTTAGGGCTGCTTATGGTGTGGGGGTGTGGAGGTCCATTGGGAAGGGGTGGGATGAATTCTCCAAACACATTAGATTCAGAGTTCGGGATGGAAGATTTGTCAGGTTTTGGGAGGATTCCTGGTGTGAAGATAGGCCTTTGGCTCTGTTGTTTCCAACATTGTTTAGGATTGCTGTTGACAAACATGCTATGGTTGCTGACTACTATCGTCTTGATAGCGGGACGTTGTCTTGGGATGTGCGATTCAGGCGACCTTTTCAGGATTGGGAGTTGGATGATGTCACTGGCTTGTTGGCCCTTTTGTATAGACAGGAATTGGATGGCACTGGTGTGGATTCCTTGTTTTGGGTGCCTTCTTCTAATGGGATGTTCTAGGTCCGGTCATTCTTTGTGCGCCTCTCTGGGTTTCATGGGTTGCCCTTCCCGTGGAAGACGGTGTGGCTCTCGAAGGCGCCCCTTAGGGTGGCCTTTTTTGTATGGACTGCAGCTTGGAGTAAGATTCTGACTTTGGACAATTTACGGAAGAGAAGACATATCATTGTTAACCGGTGTTGTCTTTGCAAGTGTTTTGGGGAGTCCGTGGATCACCTTCTGTTGCATTGTCCTGTTGCTTATGAATGTTGGAGTCTTTTGCTTGGTTTGTTTGGCGTCCATTGGGTCATGCCTCAGACTTCTCGAGGATTGCTAGATATCTGAAGGGGCCAATGGGTGGGGGCTCAGGCTAGAGACTTCTGGAGGGTGACCCCTCTTTGCGTTTGGTGGAGTCTTTGGAAAGAGCGGAACAGAAGATCTTTTGATGGGAAGGAGTCCTCTATTGGAGAGCTGAAATTTTCTATTATTTGTACCCTTTTTTGTTGGGGTTGGGGCAGGGATTATTCTTCTTTAGAGGACATTGTGGACTTTTTGGGTTCTTTGTGGTCATAGATACTTTTTGTGTATATCTCGGGACGCGTTCCCCTTTTGAACGCTTTCTAATACATTTTACTTATCAAAAAAACAGAAGAAGAAATTATTCACACTCCATGTCATAACTATTGTATTATTCACACTCCACTCTTTGAATTTAGGATTGCTCTTGGAGGGAAACATGACAGTCCCTTCAATATGATTGATCATCCTACGACCAGTGATATGCATACGAGTAAATTGAGCCCACTTCATCTCATTCAGCCTAACAGTCGTAATACAAAGGCCTAGATGGTGATCAGTACTACCTCCCAACACTGGAGTCAAACTAGGAGAATACCCAAGTTCTTTTGAAGTCACCTATGAGCCAGATATTTTATCAAACAATTTCTGGGTATACACTCTTCAGAAACAAAACAACAAAATATGTAGAGAACCACATCTTTTAACACACAAACAACTTCAACTAGAGAGATTACCGTCTCCTAAGATGCATAAAAAAGTGACCACACAGTCACCACACAAACCCTAGAAAGCAACAAAGTAGACCATATCAATATCGTGAACGACGAAGAAAAAGGCGTTGTTGCAGAACCACGCGAACATGACAAATACACTGATCGAGACTGCAATCGATCAAAAGGAGGTCCAAACAAATCCCATCTTAGAATCTCTTCAAAACCCTTCACACCCACTAGACTTGCCCTTGGTTTCAACTACACACCGAGAGCTTTACAAACCATGCTTTGATACCATGTTGACTTTAAGAGATAATAAAAACAAAAGTAGAGTACAAGAATATGAAGAAGAGAAGAAAGAGGAGAGAAAAAAAAGAGAGAGATGGGGGAAGAGAGAGAGAATGAAAAAATACTTTCGTCCTTCCACCACATTAGCTTTAGAAATTACACATAAGCACCCAACATTATATAAGTAGTAACAAATTAACCCCTGACAACACTTAGGTCATGTTTGGTGGGTAAATTTGATAAAGAAGTTAGAGATAGGGTTCCAAATTGCTAAATGGGCCTCTTGTATCTGGCGTATTTCTTGTGGAGGTTGTGTGTCGCCGTTGATTCTTTCCTCCTTTTTGTCTTCCTTCACATGCAAAGGCTAGTACGGTGTTGAAGGAGGGACGAGACAGAGGTGATGCCACACTTCGTGGCTGTCTGTTGTTTGAGTGGGTTGCTTGGGGGTACTGAGGGAGAAGGGTTTGAAGAAGGTTTTGTTGTACGGTCTTCCAGTTCACCTATGGTGCCATGCACTTTTGTGATAGTCGGAGATTTGTGCGGTGGGTTCATATGGGTGAAAGCAGACTTTGTCCTCCGGATATCTTCATCCATTATGACCGTCTGTGTTGCAAGTTTTGTTATGGGAAGAGACTCATCCCGAACTCATGCCAATGACTAAGAGTTTGGAAGGAGGAAGATTGGTGGAAGATGATCTCGAAGGGTCCAAAAGAGGTTGAAGAGTTCTAAAGGTCGAGGGATGATCTCAAAGGGTCCGAAAGGGGTCGAAGAGTTCTAAAGGTGGAGGGATGACCGGAAGTTGTAGTGGGATTGAAAGCTTGTTTCCATTAAACGTGAGAGTTTGCAGAAGATTGATGGAAGAAGTAGATCAAGTGCGATCCACGCACGTAGGATGCATGAAAGGAGGATTCTTGGTCTGTGGAATGGGACACATGTTTGGTGTAGAGCAAAGGAGAGTAATGGGTTGGATGCAACTGGCATCCACCACTCATCAATTCAAAATCTCAGAGCTTGTGACCAAGAGATTTCCACTTTACTTCTGTCAAGGTTGGGCTGGATCCAGTTTTCATTGGTCCAAATAGAGAGGCTTTTAATGTTGATGGGGCCGAAAAGAAGTCCATTCATGATTATGTTTCAAGAGGATTGGGCCTTTATTCTTTCAATGGGCTTTGTTTAAGTAACCGTTTTGGGCACGAGAATACTCGTGTGTCCTTCATAAGCAATCATTTTGGGCCAATTCATAAGGGCTCAAACGATTCTGTTGGTTCTCTTCAAAATGAGAATACTCATGGGTCCTTTATAAGCAACCATATTGGGCAAAGCATAAGGGCCCAAACGATTGGCCTTCCGCTGATTCTTTTCATCATAATGCCAGCAACAATTGCTCTCTTCCTCTAGGTCATCAACATAGAACGCAGAGAACTTAGAACCGACTGATGGTCAAGGAGGGATAAACAAAAGTGGGTTGTGGCCAATTCAAATGCCATTGAGTTGGGTAATTCCACAAATCTGGATTCTTGGAGCTTTCCTTCTGCTTCTTTTGCTTCTACTCCTTCGTGGGGTGTTGAGGAGATCTATCTGGATGTTGTGACGGAGGTCTGTTTGGAAGAGAAGATTGAGGAGGTTTCTTATCTGACTGGGCACTCTAGGATGTTGGTTTGCGTTGCAAAAGACAAGTCCAACATTGTGGAGCCATTTGATGGAGTAAATATTTGTGTGGGGCGTGATATCCAGTTTTGTATGAGTGACGAGTCTGCAGCGATTCTGGTTAAGGAGCTCCAGTTACATTAGGCTTTGAAAGGGCTTAATTGTTTATCGGTTGATGGATCGGAAGCGAAGTATGATGATTCTGAAGGAGATATAGGTACCCCGTTGGCTGGCAGTTTTGCATCAACTTCTGTTTTGGGTGATTGGGATGGGTTGTCGGGTTCCTCAACAGGTGGGGACACGGGGATTGTTTGATGGAGGGGAGTTAGTTTTCGGATGATGGCTTATTTGTTCCTTTGGCTGTGGTGGGTCCAGAGGTGGAGAGGGATGATTCAGTTGATGTTGTGAGAGGGGAGGGTGGGGTGGATGGGGAATGCAGGGAGGTGATGGTAAGGGATAATCCCGGGGTTGTGGGCAATCTCATTGGAGTGTCTTTTAAAGGCAAGACTTCTCAGGGTGTTGAAATGTTTCATGAAGTTAATTGCAACCAAAACACTTCTTGTGGGTTGTTGATGTGTTCTACATTTCATTTGTAATATATATATGTATATATATATTTATATATTTAAATTTTTTTTGAACTACTTGCTGTTTTGTGAGATGAGACATGATATGGGGCTATAAGAGAGAGGGAGGGGGTGCCATTTTAATACTTTTTGACTTTTTTTAACAGATTAATTTGAGTTGGAGAAAGGGAGTGAGATATACTGATGTTGATATTTATTTGACTTGTTGAGTTCAAAGAACAGATTAATTTGAGGTAGAGGGAGGAATGTCCCGAGATACTGCCACTTTTAAATTTGGACTTATTGTGTTCTATTAACAGATCAATTTTATGTTGAGAAAGGTAGATATATTGGACATATTATATTTTTGATTCGTTCAGTTCTTTTAGGAGATTATTTTTAGGTATAGGGAAATGGCATCATATAATGCATTTTCACATTTTTGACTTGTTGAGTTCTATGGACAGATTAAAATTAATTTTTTTGAGTTGATTTATTTTTGCAATTTTCAGATAAATCATAAAAAATATATAAAAGCTGATGGATTTATCTCTATATGTTTTTGACTATCTTTGTATGATTTATCATTATCCTTCATGATCATGCTTTTATGTTTTCATTATCATCAGTTGAGCAGCTGGCAGATCCCTACTGAGGTGACAGAAGGGAGAAAGCTGGATAGTGAAGCTTTTAAAGAACAATCAAAGTCAGTCCCAAACACTAATATATTAACTGAGAAAGGATCCTCTCCTGTTCGTTTGAGTGCTCCTGCTGTTAACACAGGTGGTCGTGATGCCACAGCTCTTAGAGCTTTAGGTGTGCCAGGATCATCATCTGCACTGGATCTGATAAAAAAGAAGTTGCAGGAGTCTGGAGCTCCTGTTACTTCCTCGCCTATTCCAGCTTTGTCTGGACAGGTTGCATCAGAACTGAATGGACCTAAATCAGCTGAGGCTATGAATAAGGGCCTGCAAAGTGAGAACAGCAAAGACAAGATAAAAGATGCTAATGGGGATGGTAACATTTCTGATTCCTCTTCTGACTCAGAGGATGTGGATAGCGGACCATCCAAGGAAGAGTGTATCATCCAATTCAAGGTATTTTTTTTTTTTTTATTTTTTATTTTTTTTATTTATTTATTTTTTTCTCTTGTATCCTTCGAAAGTTCTTTTAGTTTGACCCATCTATGTGGGATGAATTGTTTCTCTTTTCACCTAAATTTCAATTTCTGTTTTAAATTATTTTCCCCTTGTTATTGTAGGGAGAGCATGCATATTGGTCCTTGATTCCTGTTTACTTTATTTGCTGATCAAAATCATGCATCATTTTTCAGTCTTGCGAATTCCTTTAAAATATGTGAATACTAAGTTCTCTATCTCTTGTTGTTATTATAATATTTCCTTTTAATTGGAAAAAGAAGAAAAATGAGAGAATTGTGTAAAGACTTGAATGAGATTAATCACTCATTCATAGCTCTAGTATTTATAGATAAAAAGAACAAATGCCCCTATTACAAGAAAGGAAATTAATTAAAGAATATTCTAAAGCATAATGAAATCTCTGCTAATATGGTAAGTCATTCCATAAATCGTGGCTATCATATCTGCTAACACTCCCCCTCAAGTTGGTGCGGGGATATCTAAAACGCCCAACTTGGACAATGCATTCTCAAACACAATCTTGTTGACGTCCTTTGTAAGAATGTCTGCAAGCTATTGAAAGCTTGTGACAAATGGAGTGCAAATTTGACTAGCGATGATTTTCTATCGAATGAAGTGCCGATCAACAAATCAAAAATGTCTCCTCAGTCCATAAAAAATTAACAATGTCTCCTTAGACCATAACGAACTAATCATGTCTCCTCAGACCGTAAACAACCAACAATGTCTCCTCAAACCATTTCCCTTCATACACATGTTTAAAACATGTAGATGGAAGAATCAACAATGTCTTCTAAGACCATTCCCCTTCATACATATGTTTAAACAATGTAGATGAAAGAATCAATAATGTCTCCTTAGACCATAAAAGGAAACAACTGTCTCCTTAGACCATTTTTAAATGGGTGGTGCCAAACTCGCATAGCCCTTATTGAGGTTGGACCACCCTGCCTACCCGAAGCTTACCATATGGGCGATGTGACTATTCCCGAATGGGAGGTGCCGAACTCGCAATGCCCCCATTGCAGTCGAACCACCCTGGCTCTGATACCAAGAAGAAATATAAAAAGAAGAAAAATGAGAGAATTGTGTAAAGTCACTCATTCATAGCTCTAGTATTTATAGATAAAAGAGCACATGCTCATATCACAAGAAAGGAAATTAAATCAAATCTAAATCAAAGCTTATTCTCAAGCATATTCTATGGCATATTCTATAGCATAATCAAATTTCTACTAATACGGTAAGTCATTTCATAAATCGTGGTTATCATATCTGCTATCAGAAATCATCTCATTTAGGAAAAAAAAAATAGAGGATTGCCCTCCTTTGTATGATCTGTTTTTTCTTTCATCTCAAATGCTTCACCATAGACATAACTGGATCACTTTGTAAGCTTCTTTCTAGCTACTCTAAATTGTCTTCAGTAAGAAGAAGCGCTAATTGCTGAACTAGGCATCACTCAAAAAATACTCTAGGAGGTGAACATGTCCATAACAGGCAACAACAAAGTGACTTTCTCTTCATCCCATTTGCCATGCAAAACTAATAGACTATGATTTTCCTTCTCTTTAAACGTTTATCAATTGTTAAGATATTTTCTAGAAGTGCAGTCTGTCTATAGTAAGTTGGGGTAGCTTTTATCAAATTGCTTCCCAAGGGCTATGTCTAGAAATACATCATACATGTGTTGCATTACGACTTTTGCAAGGAAGGGATGAACCGCCGGCTATTGCCTTTGTGAGTGAAACTCTTTTTTTTATCTTATCCAATAGAATGGACGTATATGCTGGGGTTTCTTTATAGTAGAAAATTGCATGCATTTTCTATATGAATATAAAGCTACAATTTTCGTTAATTTTTTTGATAAGTAAAATGTATTAGAAAGCGTTCAAATGGGGAACGCATCCCAAGAGCTATACAGAAGCCAAAGTTAGAGACAAGGTCCTATGGACCCACCGAACCCAAAAAATCAATAAACTCATCAATGGATATACAATATTTCCCCAAAACCGAACAAAAAAGACAGCTAATAATATGAAACTTTAAAGCCCATGAGGAAGATTCTTCCCCATCAAAAGATCTTCTATTCCGCTCCTTCCATAAGCACCCCCAAACACAAAGGGGAACCACCCTCCAACACTCACGGGCTTGGCCCCCCACACTACAGCCTCGCCAAGAGTTAATCAGACCCCTTGAGGACCGAGGCATAACCCAATGGACGCCAAAAAGGCCAAAGATAAGGCTTTAACAGTCGTGAGCTACATGGCAATGCAAAAGAAGGTGATCCACAGACTCGTCACTCCACTTGCACAAACAACAACAATTAACTATAATCTGTGTTCTCTTTCTCAAATTATCCAGGGTCAAAATATTGCCCTAAACAGCAGTCCAGACAAAGAAGGCCACTCTGAGGGGAGCCTTGGATCGCCATTTTGTCTTCCAAGGGAAATTAGAACCATGAAAATCAAAGAGACAACAGAATAGGGAACGAACCTCGAATCTCCTATGAGAGGAAGGCACCTAAACTAGAGAGTCAATGCCACTACCATCCACCTCCTGTCCGTACAACAGCTCCAACAAACCTGAAACCTCATCCAATTCCCAATACTGAAAGGAACGCTGAAAACGCACATCGAGCCGATAACGGCCACCAAAGCATGTCTATCCACGACAATCTGGAAAAGTCTGGGAAAGGAACGAGCCAACGGGCAATCGCCACACCATAAATCCTCTTAAAACCGAACTCCCCTGCCATCCTGTACTTTGAATCTAATATGTTTAGAAAATTTATCCCATCCCTCACGAATGAATTTCCAAACACCCTCACCTCCAGTGAATCTGACCGGATCATAGGACCACCGGCCTCTCTCCTCCCCGTAGCATCACACAACAGCCTTCCTCCAAAGACGATGCCACTTACTTCCAAATCTCCACAACCACTTTCCTAGAAGAGCCCAGTTGAAAAGGGATAACCTCCTAATGCCTAGACCTCCCAACGGAATTGTCCCAACGAACAAGATGACACTTGAACTCCTCCCCCCGTCCACCCCAAAGGAAGTTCCGTTGAAGTCTGTCAATCTTGTCAACTATAGAGGTGGGAATCTGAAAAAGAGAGAGAATGTATGTAGGGCTCTGTTACATGGACTCTTCAAAAGTAGTGAAGTACCCGTGTCGGACACATATCATGGGATATGTGTCAGACACTTTTGGTTGGACACGTACTTAAAGCATATCCTATCATTTAATTACATTATATTATTTTTTTAAAATGAGTTAAATGCCTATATTAAGTGTCTAGAAAATAAAATAAAATAATTAATAAAATGAATATTTAGCCGTGTCCATGTGTCCTTCTGTTTGGAGGTTTGACACGTCCGATGCATGGATAAATACCCGTATCCGACACCTGTACCCGAGTTCGTGTAACATAGATGTACGGAGGCTCGACAACGTCTCTTCAAAAGAGTAACCTTCACTTCCTGCCCTTTGAAAGATACTCCTCCGTCTAACCAACCAGTCTCCTTTCAAATCGCTTAATCATAGGATCCCAACCTCCCACCCTCCTTAACGGAGCACCCAACGGCAAATCCAAATAGGAGATAGGAAAAGAGCCCACCCTGCACCCAAGTACTACAGCAAGAGATGCGGTGCCCTCAACCTCCCCTGTAGGGACAAGCATGCTCTTTTCTACATTAATTTACAAACCAGAAACTGCCTGAAAACAAACAAGGACACACCTCAAATATCTCAACTTGGACTCATCGGAATCACAGAAAACCAAGGTATCGCAAACAGTGAATGAGAGATCTCCATTTGATGATCCGAGTCTCTACCGACCCTAAAGCCCCTTATAAAACCTAGATCCACTGCTTTTCTCAACAACCTACTGAGAGCCTCCATAATAATAAGGAATAAAGATGGAGATAGAGGATCGGCCTATCTCAAACCTCGAGAGCTGCCAAAGAAACTCGTAGGAGATCCATCCACCAGAAGAGAGAATCTAACTGAAGAAATACAAGCCTCAATCCACCTCCTCCGTCTCTCTCCAAAACCCAACCTCCCAAGTAGATACAACAAAAAGCTCCAACTGATATGATCATACGCCTTCTCAATATCAAGCTTACACAAAACTCCCGGTTCCCCACTGCTCAGCCTAGAATCCACACACTCACTGACAATAAGAATTGAGTCAATAATTTGTTGACCACTAACAAAAGTGTTATGGGACTCTAAAATAACCCCATTCGGCACCTTCCTCATTCTCAAAGCAAGTACTTTAGCAATAAGCTTATAAATACACCCCACATGACTTATTGGTCTAAAATCCTTAACATTAGAAACTCCACCCTTCTTAAGGATGAGGGGGCTATGAAAGAACCGTTCAACGACTTCTCAAACTTCCTGTGAGAATAAAACTCTTGAAAAGTGCCCATAACCTTACTCTTAACCACATTCCAACTCTCCAACAAAACTCTCATAGTTCATTAATAATATAAATGGTTGGTTTCTAGTAGCGTTATAGAAATAAGGTGAGGCATAACTGGTTGAGAGAGAACTTCAGAGAAAAAGTGCAGCAAACAAAAATAGAACAAAATCCTCTTGCAACAGTAAGATAGACCAGAATAACCTAATTACTGGTGGAGCAAAATTTCTAAGTAAAATCTGAAAAAGCTTGAAGTATAGTTAAAAACATCTCAAAATTATACTTTAAATACTTCTTACAGTGGAGAGACCGTTGTCCCCCTTCTGTAATACAACTTCTAATGATTCTTAATTTCTCCTAGAATGACTTGTAGAATCCCCCTGAAGCTACATTTTTGGTTCCAACCTTAATTAATATTTTTAATAGAAACAAAGATGAACTTTGACTTCATTAAACTAAAAGACACTTTTCAAGGCACCATTCTTTATTTGTATAAATCCCTCCTCGAAGA